GGAATTAAGGAATTCACATCAGAATGATACCAAAGGAGTCCACTAATCACAGCCATGATTTTCATCTATAAGACAGAAAAGAAAGGAAATTATTACAAGATTATAAGCGGTGGCAGACTCCAGAATGGAGCAAATGGCCATAATTGGAATGTTCATAGCTGCAGAGTGAAAAGCTTTCAGTATCTGTTCTAGACCTTCAACCACTTCACTGCATGTGCTAGTCAGGATATGAGTCATGACAAGGCTGTCATGAGCTGGCACCAGGATCCGCACTTTTAACTTAAACTTGATAACATGGTTATTTTAGGTATATCATTACAGACATGCCCGTAGAATTGTCATCTACTTTCGACTGCACTTTTCTGGAAGATATAACTTTTCCTAGGTTTGTCTGGATTTGCTAAACATACCACATGGCAGGTTTACTGATCAGGAAGAACTCAAATGGCATCTGCATTTATGTCAAAACTCACAATAAAGTCAGAGTTCTAATTGTATACAGCCTTCCACAGACTAGTACTCAAGAACTTAAACTCCCTTGAGTTGATGCTGGCTTCGTCTTATTTGATGTTGTCAAGTCAATTCCAACTCATAGTGGCCTGCTCCGGTGCCATCCCCACAATTTTTACTGTGCTTGAGCGCCTTGCTGCAGTCACTGTCAGTCCACCTCATAACTAGTCTTCCTACCCAAAAAATCCTAAACCAAATCCCGATGGAAAAGAAAAATGGCAACTCATGAGAGAAACTTAAGCCTAACTGCAGCCTTCAATATGGATTGAGGCTCAATGTCAAGAAGACAAAGATTCTCACCACTGGACCAATTGGCAGCATCAGGATGGATGGTGAAGAAATTGAGATTGTTCACAGCTTTAGTTTGCTTGGCTCCACAGTCAACACTCTTTCACCAGTAGCTAGGAAATTAAAAGACATATTGCGATGGGGAAAGTCTGCTGTTAGGGACCTCTCTAAAATCCTGAAGAGCAGTGGTGTCTCTCTGGAGACTAAGGTACGTCTGATACAGGCCATGGTCTTTGCTGTCACTTGTTATGCATCAGAGAGTTGGACAATGACTAGGGAGGATAGAAGGAGAATTGATGCCTTTGAGCTGTGGTGCTGGAGAAGAGTATTGAGGGTAACATGGACTGCTAGGAAAACAAACAGATTCATCCTGGAAAGGGTCAAACCAGGCTGCTCCTTGGAGGCAAGGATTCTGAGGCTCCGTCTAACATACTTTGGACGTGTGGGAAGGAGAGACCAGTCCTTGGAGAGGGATATCACGCTTGGGAGGGTGGAGGGACAGCGCAGGAGGGGAAGGCCCTCTATGAGGTGGATTGATTCAGTGACTGAGGTAATTGGGATGAGTGTGTTGGAGACAGTGTGATTGGCACAGGACAGAGCAGAGTTTAGGGCTCTTGTACTTAGGGTCGCTATGAGTTGCAAGCAACTCGATGGCACATAACAACAGCAACAAGAGCAGTGAAAGATGTGATGTTTTCTCTTGTTCTTGTTAGATGCTGTCAAGTTGACTACAACTCATAGCAACCCTATGAACAACACATCTGACTATCCTACACCCTTCTCATGATCTCCACTGTGCTTGGACCCATTATTAGTTGTTGTATCAACATCTCTTTCTGGAGGTCTTTCTTTCACTATCTTCTACCTTTCCCAGAAACTTGTCTTTTTTTCCCCCCAAAAGACTGTTCCTTCCTAATAACATACACAAAGTATATGAAACAAGGTTTCACATTTCTTGCCTATAAGGCACTTCCTTCAAAACAGATTTATTCGTTCTTTTGGTAGTCCATATGAAACAAAAATCTCCATTATCATAATTCAAAGGGGATAATTCTTCGATCTTATTTCATTATTCAACTTTCAAATGCATATGAAGCACAGCTAGGGTCAGGTGTACCTTCATCTTTAAACCACCATCCTTCTTCTTTAGTATTTTGAAAATGTCATTGACAGTAGATTTCTCCAATGGAACATTTCTCTTAGTTTTTTGACTGCTGTTACCATGAATGTTACTTTGAAACCAAATAAAAAGAAGTCATTGACAACTTCAACCTTTTCTCCATTTATTATGGTGCTGCCTATTGTTTCAGTGCTAATGATTTTTGTCTTCTTGATGTTGAAATGTCATGCATGTTGAAGGCTTTAGTCTTTGACCCACTGCAGCAATCACTCAAGTGGTCTTCAACTTTCAGCAAGCAAAGCTGTGTTATTAGCATAATGCAGGTTGTTGATGAGTCTTCATACAATTCTGATGCCACAATCTTCTTTATATAGTTCAGCTTCTCGAATGATGTTCAGCATACAGATTTAATAGGAATGGAGAAAGAATGCAACTCTGATGAACACCTTTTCTAATTTTAAACCATGCAGTGCTCCTTTGTTCTGTTTGGACAAGTGCTTCTAACCTCCCCACCCCCACCCAAGGACAGTTTTGATGGTTTTTTTCTTCCCCCTCCTTTTAAAAAAAATTTATATTAGTTTGCTTACAAAGTTCATAAACATTGTGTTTCACACTATTCTCCATATTGTGTTGCATATAATCATTCTGAGGCATTGTTGTTGTAGTATGTGCCATCGAGTCACAACAGCCCTAAACTCTATTCTGTGCCAATCTTATTGTCTCTGATACTGCTAACCTCATTACCCCAGTCACTGAGTAAATCCATCTCATCAAGGGTCTTCCTCTCCTGCACTGTCCCTTCACCCTCTCAAGCATGACATCCCTCTCCAAGGACTGGTCCCTCCTTGCAACATGTCCAAAATACGTCAGAGGAAGCTTCAAAATTCTTGCCTCCAAGGGGCAGCCTGGTTTAACCCTCTCTAGGATGAACCTGTTTGTTCTCTTAGCAGTCCATGGTATATTCAATACTCTTCTCCAGCACCACTGTTCAAAGGCATCAATTCTCCTTCTATCCTGTTTAGTCATTGTCCAGTTCTCTGATGCCTAACAAGTGATTTTAAAGACCATGGCCTGTATCAGACTCACCTTAGTCTCCAAACTGACATCATTGCTCTTCAGTACTCTGGAGAGGTCTCTGACAGCAGACTTCCCCCATGCAATGCATCTTTTAATTTCTTGGCTGATGTTACCAAGAATGTTGATTATGGAACCAAGCAAACGGAAGCTGTTAACAATCTCAGTCTCTTCATCTATCAAGATGCTGCCTATCAGCTCAGTGGTGAGAATCTTTGTTTTCTTGATACTGAGCTTCAATCCATATTGAAGGCTGCAGTCCTTGACCTTCTGCAGCAAGTGCTTCAAGTCCTCCACAGTTTTAGCAAGCAAGGTGTGTCATCTAAATAACACAGATTGTTGATGAATCTTCCTCCAGTCCTGATGCCACATTTCTTCTCATAGAGCTCAGCCTCCCAAATAATCTGTTCTGCATATAGATTGAAAAGGTATGGAGATCGGACACATTCCTGGCGTATATCCTTCCCAATTTTGAACCATGCAGTGTTTCCTTGCTCTGTTCTGATGACTGCCTCCTGGTCCAAGTAGGTTTTGCATAAGAACAATCAAGTGTTCTGGGATTCCCATTCTTCCCAGAGTTAGTCACAGTTTTTTTTTGTGGTCCATATCTTTCATCTGCTCTTTTCTGTAAAATGTTTGTCTGTCAGATACTGTTATAAATCTAAGCGTTCAGATTAATACAAACTAAGAAGAAGGATTCGCCATCCACTTCCGAAATAGCAGGCCTTCGAAAACCCTATGTAACACACTTAGACTAGCAGTTAGAGAAACGGAAGTGGAGCCCTCAAGTATCTAAACACAAAAGAGGAGGAACAGTTGGAAGCAGACACTAGTGATTGGAGCATGGAATGTTCCACTAGTGAGAACCCTGAATGTAGGAAAATAAGATATTGCTAAGGAAGAAATGGAACGCATAAATATTGACATACTAGTTACTGGCGAGATGAGATGGACTGGCATGGGGCATTATGAGTCAGACGATGATAGATCTATTATGCTGGAGATGAAAAAGTAAGGAAAAATGGGATTGTTTTCTTATGCACCATGTTTTATAAAATTAATCACCATTAGACTTTGCCTATCATTACCCTGTCTTTTCACGGATCCTTCCCATTTCCTTCATCCCCTCCCTCCACCCACCCAACCGTGCAACCCTGTGGTTTCATCCCTATCCATCCTCACCCCTACGCTCCCATCCCTTCCCGCCTAGGCTTCCCATACATGTTTTACCAGTTACCCTTCTATTTTTACGAAAATAGTATTATGCAGTAACAGCTTTTTAAAATAGCAAAAGCCAGAAAAGTAATAAAATTTGTGGCTGGTTTTCTTTCGTGGTTAAAGGACACCAGTGAAAATGTTTTTTTTTTTAGTTTAACTGCCAGCACGTTTGGCCTTCTACAGCCACCGTCTCTGACCTGCGGCTTCTGGTTTCTTAGCAACAAGTGCTCAGTTAGGAAACGCATTGTGGAGGTGAGTGCGATTGTTATGTCTACTCGTCCTCGGAGAGCTTTGGGGCCCTGCTCTTCAGCCAGGCTTGAGCCTCCGAGGCGGGGTCCCCTTACTAGGGCAAGCTGCAACTTCTGGAACCGATTCTTGGTTTCTGAAGCTGTAAATCACACGAAAGGAGGGGTTTGGCCTTGGGTTTGACAGGTCTGACTATTCCTCCAGAGCTTGCATGTCACCACCGGAGTAACTCCGCTCTTCTCAAGGTCCCCGCCCCATCCCTGCCCTGCTTTGTTTGCCTTTGGTCTCTGGGTCCCACTGCCTTTCTCAGTTCGGTGAATGTGCTTCGGAAAACCCCAGATCTGAGCTGGACACAGACTAGAAGAATGTTTTAAGATTAATATTGATAGGAAAATGCATGGCAGTTTCTAACTTTTTAAAATTAAAATCAAGCACCTAGAATTTAAATTCTTTCTGTCACAATTACATTAAACTTGGGGTTGGGAGGTATTATCATTGCAGTTGATACCTGTCCGGAAACTGAAATTACACTCTGAAAAGCCAAAATGGAGCTATCAATGCCTCTGCCTCAAATATATGTAGAAAAAACTCTTGCTATAATCAAACCAGATATTGTTGACAAAGAAGAGGAGATACAAGATATTATTCTCAGATCTGGATTCACCATCGTTCAGGTACCTTTTGGCACAATGGTCATATTTTTTTTCTCTTTCTGATCGTATTTTTATGAAAATGTTTTGATCCCTTTAGCTCCTTATTGTTTAACATTAAATGTAGCTTTGTTTTGTTTTGCTTTTAAATTTAGGTTTATTCTTGCAGTTTATAAAGTCATACGTAATAGATAATAGACGTAATAGATCTTAACCATATTTTTTTTCATGCTTCAAAAGGACACAAAAGGAGAAATTTTCTTTCTCTCCCATTCCAAGTCCCAGTTAACACTTTCTGTTACTCCAGGAGTTATCTTTGCATTTACAAACATTTCTTTTTCTACCTGAAATAGAATAGTTTTTCTCCCTTAGATTCCTTCTTCAAAATTTCTCAGAGTAGCAGATACTACGTGTATTTTTCCACACAACAAACTCCTCCCACAACTCATCTGGCCTTCGTTCATTGGTGTTCAAAGCCTCAAATCTGTTCCTGAGATGGTTCTGAAATTCAGGTGGGATAGACTCAAGGTCATATTTTGGTTGCCTCGGATTTGGTTTGATTTTCCTCAGCTTTAGCTTGAATTTGCATATGAGTAGTTGGTGGTCTGTTCCACAATCAGCTCCTGGCCTAGTTTTCACAGCTGATATTGAGCTTCTCCAGCGGTTCTTTCCACATATGTAATTGATCTGATTCCTATGCATGCCATCAGGTGAAATCCAGGTATATAACCTGCGTTTATGCCTCTTAAAAAAGGTATTTGCTATGAATAAGTCATTGATTGTGCAAAATTCGATCATTCTCTCTCCAGCTCCATTTCTGTCACCCAGTCCATGTTTTCCAACTACTGAATCTTCCTCTTTGTTCCCGACTTTTGCATTCCAGTCACCCATTATTATCAATGCATCTTGGTTGCATGTTCGATCAGTCTCCGATTTTAAAAGTTGGTAAAAATCTTCTATCTCCTCTTCCTTGGCTCTGGTTGTTGGTGCACATATTTGAATGATAGTGGTATTCACTGGACTTCCTTGTATGCGTATAGATATTATCCTGTCACTGACAGTATTGTACTTCAAGACAGATCTAGCAATGATCTAGCAAGAAGGAGAACTGATGCCTTTGAGCTGTGGTGCTGGAGAAGAGTACTGAGAATACCATGGACTGCTAGGAAAACAAATAGATTTGTCCTGGAGAGGGTTAAACCGGGTGGCTCCTTGGAGGCAAGGATTCTGAGGCTCCGTCTAACTTACTTGGACATGTAGTGAGGAGAGACCGGTCCTTGGAGAGGGACATCATGCTTGGGAGGGTGGAGGGACAGCGCAGGAGAGGAAGGCCCTCTATGAGGTGGATTGATTCAGTGACTGGGATAATTGGGATGGGAGTGTCCGAGACAGTGCGATTGGCACAGGACAGAGCGGAGTTTATGGCTGTTGTACATAGGGTCGCTATGAGTCGCAGGCGACTCGACGGCACATAACAACAACAACACGTGTATTTTTAAGAAGAGCTTAAATATTGTATCAGGTTCATTTGTCCTCTTAGAAAAGAGCAAGGTGCAAAGCAGTGTATGGCAACCCTTTATAGAAGAAAGAAGCAATTATTTGTCTTGCCAATCAGTACTTCCACTTGCACAATGAAACGTTGAGATACAATTTTTGAAAATGATTCTCTGTTGTGCGCCTGGAAAATTGCACAAGAGCATGGAGAAGCCAAAACATAGGGAAGATATGCTGAAATGATAAGATTTTAACTGAACAGAATATTTCAAAAGGCACATTGGGAATACAAAGCAAACTACTATAATGGAATGTACAGAGACTTAGAATTGGAATATGGAAAGGGAGGAACATACTCAGCATTTCTGAAACTGAAAGAGCTGAAAAATAAATTCAAGCCTTGACTTGTAATACTTATAGACACTGTGGGGAAAATCTTGAATGATCACAGAAGCATCAAAGAAGATGGGGAGAAAACATAAAATCACTGTACCAAAAGGAATCGGCTGACACTGACATAGAGTCAGTGGTAATGAAGGAAGAAGTTTCAGCTGCAATAAAGGCACTGGCAAAAAATAAGCCCCCAGGAATTGATGAGATACAAATTGACATGTTTCAAATGACAGATACAGCCCTGGATGTGGTCACCAGTGTTTGCCAGAAAATTTAGAGAACAGCTGCCTGGCCCCCTGAGTGGAAAAGATTTGTTCCCATTCCCAAGAAAGGGGATCCAACAATGTGAAAATTATCTATTAATATCATTGATATCACATATAAGAAAATCACTACTGAAAATAATTTTTAAATGGCTAGAACAGTACAATAACAACTGCCAGATGTTCAAGCTATATTTAGAAGAGACTATGGCACCAGTAATATAATTACTAATGTCAGATGGATCCTGGCTGAAAGCAAAGAATATCATGAGTGTCTATTTGTGCTTTATTGATTATGCAAAGGCATTTGACTGTGTGGATCATAATAAATTATGGCTAACGGGAAGAATTGGAATCCTAGACCACTTAATTGTGCTTATGCAAAACAATACTTAAACTATTGTGCAAACCGAGCAAGGGAGCATTATATGCTTTAAAGTTAAGAAAGATACGTGTCAAGGTTGTATCCTTTCTGCATACCTATTTAATCTATATGCTAAGCATATTATTTGAGAAGGTAGAGGCTCTGAAGAAGCATATGGCACCAGGATTGAAGGAAGTCTCACCCATAAACTTTGTTATACTGATGACACAGCCTTACATGTCAAAAGTGAGGACAATTGAACCACTTTAAACACTGCAGCCTTCAATATATGTCGCTGTCCCTATGCCAGCAACAAATAGCAACACCCTGATGGGGGTAAGCATGGAGAAACACCACTCTGGGAGCCTTTCAGAGTGTCAATCCAGCTCAACTTTATTGGGGGCTGCAGTGCACTTATATATGAGCAAGTAAACAGGAAGACAGGATAGGGTGGGCTTGCAGACATGGGACATGTGGATTGGATAGGAGAGCCTCAGCCTCGTGCCAACTACTCCCAGCTCAACAGATGCAGCAGCCGTCTTCCCAGGTGGTGAGTTTTCTCAAGCCAGTATAGCCAAACATAGGAGAGCTTTCTCTACCCTGTATTAAAGACTGTTGGGAGGCTTGCACTTATCCAGTGCTAGGCAATCTATCCTGACCAGAGGCCCTCCCTTTCTCCCCAACATTCCCCAACAAATATGATTGCATCTCAAAATCAAGATAAAAAAAAAATCCTTGCTGCACCTATAGGCGACATCATGAGAGAGAGAGAAAAGATTGAAACTGTTAACAACTTTATCTTAACTTAGATCCACGCTCAATCTACTGGGTACCAGCAGTCAGGACATCAGGAAATATATTGCCTGGGGAAAGTCTGTAGTCAGGGACCTCTCCAAATTATTGAGGAGCAATGATGTCTGTTTGGGGATTAAGATGTTTTTGATCCAGGCCAGGGTTTTTTCAGTCACTTCCTATTCATCTGAGAAGTAGACAATGAATAAGGATGACTGAAGAATTGATGCTTTTTAACTGTGGTGTTGGAGAAGAGCACTTAATACTCCATGGTCTACCAAAAGTACAAACAGATATATTTTGGAGAAGGCACAGCCAGAGTACTCCTTGGATGTAAAGATGATAAAGTTTTATCTCATATAATTTGGACATGTTGCTAGGGCGGCTGTTCTTTGGAGAAGGATGTAATACTTGGGAAGGAGGAGGGTCATTAAAAGTAAGGAAGGCCCTCAGTGAGATAGAGTAATACAGTGACTTCAGCAGTGGCCTTGAGTGTGTCAGTGATTGTGAGGATGGCTCAGGATGGTACAGGGCTCAGATCTGTTATTCATAGGGTTGCTCTGGGTCATACTTGATGGCACCTAACAACAACAATGTGATCTGCCTCTGAGAGCTAGACAGTGAATGAGGATGACTGAAGAAGAGTTGGTGCCTTTGAACTGTAGTGATGGAGAAGAATACTGACATACCATGGACTGCCAAAGGAACAAATATGTCTTGGAAGAAGTATATCCAGAGTGCTCCTTAGAAGTAAAGATGGTGAAGTTTCGCTTCACTTTGGGCATGGTGTTAGGAGAGGCTGTTTCTTTGGAAGGGACATCATGCTTGGAAAGATGGAGGGTCAGCGAAAGAGGAGAAGACCTGCAATGAGAAGGATTGACACAGTGACTGCAGCAATGGACTCAAGTGTGTCAGAGGTTGTGAGGCCAGCACAGGATAGGACAGAGTTCAGATCTGTAGAGTGGCTATGAGTCGTACTCTACTCGACAACACCTAACGACTGCAACACTTGTGGTTAGAGAAAAACAGGTGCATTAGGATGAACTTGGTTTTATTTTTTTTCTTTAAGTGTCTTTTCCTAGTGTTTTATGGTTTTGAACTTTGTCAGTGGCAAAGCCCATGTCTTGCATACAGGAGACTGTGCTTCTGATTGGCTGTCAAGGTACGTTACTTGGAATGGGCACTTGTAATGATGTCGATCAAGTTTCAGAGAAGTTTCCCAACTCCTAGTGATATTCTCCGGAAATCAGCCAGTGAAAAGTCTAGATCACAATGGTTAGATCACATGTAATTGTCAGAATTCTCTAAGACTAGGCCATGTTTCACTCCATTAAACTTGGGGCCGCCCTGAGTCAGATGCTGACTCAGTGTCACCTAATAGCAACAAGTATATTATGAAGCAACAAGTATATATGAAGAGCAAATTATACACATAAGAATAATACATCCCTTTACATTTAAACAGTAAGACAAGTTCACATTTAAAAAATAATTGAGAGACTGTTAGGAAGTAGCTAATGTTAGCAATTAGAAATTAATATGTCTATATATCTCAATATTTAACACTTTGCTTAGTTATCAATAAATTTCAGACCAAAGAGAGAGTGTGTATCATATGCTTTAAAAATAGACTCTATTTCTTTTTATGAAGATGGCACTGAACGCAAAGAGGGTAGTCCCTGTCCTCCCAAAACAGAATCAAAACAAAGCCGTTAAAAGGCTGAGAAGGCAGTTCCATAGAGCATCAAGAGTAACACAAAAAAAAAGATCCGAGAAAAAAAAAGGATCTGCACATTACTCACCTTCCAGGAGATTAAGATTGTGGCCCAAATACTCCTGGAAGAGCGCCCCTAGGAGAAACAAGCTTGACCACTATGCCATCATCAAGTTTCCTCTGATCACCAAGTCAGCCATGAAGTAGAAGATAACACACATGTGTTCATTGTGGATGTCAAGACCAACAAGCACCAAATCAAATAAGCCGTGAAGATACTGCATGACATTGATGTGGTCAAGGTCAACATCATGACTAAGCCTGATGGAGAGAAGACGTTCGACTTGCTCCTGACTATGATGCTTTGGATGTTGCCAAAAAAAAATGGGATCAACTAAACTGAGTCCAGTTGGCTAATTAAACATTTTTTTCACCAAAAATAAATAAATGAATGAATGAATGGCTTTCTTGACTGCAGTTGGAAGTCCTTTGAACTTGAAGCAGTCTTTTACTGTGTATGAAAAACCTGAAAAATGATATAAACTTTCAGTAGGTGGCAGTCTTCACTTTGTTCAGACTAAGGGTTCTGTTCTTGATAGCATTTAGTTTTTACTAACTGTAAAAAACTTTGCCTGTTATCATTTTAAGCAGCCCAGGTAATTATTCATTGAGCATCAATATTAGTTAAAGGTGACTTACTGTTAAAAAGCATGCTGTATTAGCTAGCACATTGTAAAAATGAACTCTCCTTGCTTATAGTGAGCACAGGTGTCAGCTAAGGGGTTACATTACCACAGATGAGATTTTATTGTTATACCCACCAAAGGAAAAAAAAATCCACCAATAAAGATTTAAAAAATCATAAATACTGGCTTGTGTCATTTTAAAGAATTTAAGTCTTTGGAATCAAAGATTGAAATAAACCACATTTGCTATAAATTCTCAATTTTTTCTACTTTTTGAATTTCAATATGAGAACCATAATCAGCACCTTTTTCATAGTACCTTGCCTTTGACTCTTGAGAATTTTACTCTTATCAGCTAGAACCTGTTGATAGCAGTGCCAAGCCACCTTGGAAAGCACCTCGCCAGGCTTCTTGTTCTGGACATTTTAGACCTCTCATAACAGAGCAAGTAATTACCAACTTTTAAAACCTGAGAAAACATAATAGTTTAGAGGGGATTTCAGGAGGTAAATGACCTGGTAAAATTCACCTTCACTCTCACGAAAATCTAATGGGAATTTCTACCTTAATCTTAGTGATTTTTAGCCTAAATGGAGCAATTTATTTCAAAGTCATTACTCATAATTACTCTAGCCAGAAATTCTTGAATGTCTTTGAGTCCCTGTTATCTTTTCCCCTCCTGGCTGGCCTACTATGTTAGGATTAGAAAACAATATACAGATAGATTATTGTAAAAACACTCAACTCTTCTGGGAAGATTGTTACACCTTGAAACCAGAATAGTGATTGACTTAGCTTTCATGATTTTTTCAATCTAATGATTCCTTCTTACTGTAACAAAAATTACATTTATTTGTCCAAAATGGGGATTATGATTACTATCTTTTAAATAGGAAAAACACAACACCAACTAATTTTTCTCAACATCACAATGAAGTAACATATTTATAACAGAACATGCTACATGCATGTTCATGTAAAAAATGGTTTTACTGCATCATTAAGCTATTTGTTATTTCTGAGTACCATATGAGACCAAATCTTAATGTGGTATAAGATAATTTTGTAATAGGGAAGAGATATATATGAAAATTTTATGTATATACAATACACATTAACAAAATAGTAATCCATCAGAATATTGCTTGGAAAAGGAGGTATGTTGAGGAAAGCTACTGAATTGGAGTAGTATTTCTTAAGTAGGTTGAATAGTTCCTCTATGCTCTTATTTACAGAATACTTTTCATTTTCTTTCCCTCTAATACAAAGAGAACGCTTGGGTAGTAATCAAATTATACTGATTTCAGATTATTCATGACTAACTGAGGTACCATTGAACAGTCATTTCAAATACTTTTGTTAACTTTCTTTGTTTCTGTTACAGAGAAGAAAACTGCATCTCAGCCCTGAACACTGTAGTAATTTTTATGTGGAGCAGTATGGGAAAATGTTTTTCCCTAATTTAACAGCATACATGAGTTCTGGACCACTGGTTGCCATGATATTGGCTAGACATAAAGCCATCTCTTACTGGAAAGAACTTTTGGGACCAAGTAATAGCTTAGTAGCTAAGGAAACACATCCAGACAGGTAATTTTTCTAGAAGGAAAATGAGGAATTTGTTTGTGAAACTTTTCTCATCCTGATTTTACTATATTTTCATATGAGTGTTTTATTTTTAGAATTTTTTATTGTGATTTTAACAAAAGTTTACAGAAATCTTGGATTTCCATTCATTCATTAGTACACATTTTCCTCCCTACCTGCCCCCCTAGTTCACTTTTTTCTCTAAAAAAAGTCATTCATTGTTGCACAATTTCCTCCCTCCTCCCCACCCCAGTCCACGTTGTTAGGCACCTCTTATTCTGGATTATTGTTATGCAAATAATGTCTAATCATATATTAATTTTAAACAATTCTTTCCCTCATTGTTCCAATACAGTGTTCATTATTCATCCCTTCTTCTCTTAGTTTCCTCTCAACCCCCAATGTCAGTCCTGTTTTATAACAATGGCATCATGTAGTATTTGTCCTTTTGTGACTGAGATATTTCACTCAATATTCTTTCCTCCAGGCTCACCCATTTTGTGTAATATTTTATGAGTCCCTTCTTTTTCAGTGCTGTGTAGTATTCCATTGTGTGGATATACCACAGCTTCTCTATCCATTAATTTGTTGATGAGCACTTGGGTTGTTTCCATCTCTTTGCTGCTGTGAACTCAGCAATAAACTTGGGTGTGCATATATCTACTTGGGTAGCATTTCTGGCTTCTTTGGGGTATATTCCAAGTAGTAAAATTGCTGGGTCAAATGGTATTTCTATTTACAACTTTTTGAGAAAGCACCATACTGCCTTCTAGAGTGGTTGCACATTTTACACTCCCACCAATGAATAAATTTTCCAATTTCTCCACAACCTTGCCAGAATTTGGTATTTGTTGCTCTGTTGAACTTTGCTATTGTTACTGGGGTGACATGATATCTCATAGTTGTTTTGATTTGCATCTCTTAGAGCTAGGGATTTTGAACATTTCGTTGTGTGTGTGCTCGTCATTGGAATATCTTCTTGGATCAAGTATCTGTTCATATCCTATGCCCATTTTGCAATTGGGTTGTGTATCTTGTTGAGGTGCTGGCATATACTATAAATTCTAGATAAATGTCCCTTATCAGACATGTCATTACCAAATATTTTTCGCCAGTCTGTGGCTTTCCTTTTTATCCTGTTGGTGTTTTCTGATGTGCATAGGGATTTGATTCTTAGAAGATCCCATTCATCTATTTTATTCTCTCCTGGTTGTAGGTTTTTCAGGATGCTTGGAAGACTGTTTATGTTGTGGATTAGGGATTCTAAAGTTATTCCAAGCTTTCCTCTGATGAAGTTTATAGTCCTTGATTTTAGTCCTGGGTCCTTGGTCCGCTTTGAGTTGGTTTTTGTGTATGGTGTGAGGTGTGGCTCTTGCTTGAGTTTTCTAAAGATATGTTTCCCATTTTGCTAACACCATTTGTTCAAGAGGCTGTCATTTCCCCACTTAACTGATTTAATCTCCTTGTCAAAAATCAGTTTACCATAGGGAGATGAGCTGATTTCTGGGTTCTCAATTCTATTCCATTGATCTTTGTGTCTGTCACTGTACCAGTACCATGCTGTCTTGACCACCACAGCTGAGTAGTAGGATTTGAGATCTGGGAGTGAGATGTCTCCTACCTTCCTTCTCTTTTTCATGAGTGCTTAGCTTATTTGGAGTCTCTTCCTATTCCAGATGAAATTGGAAATTGTCTTTTCCATCTTGTTGAAGAATGGAACTGGTATTTGTATTAGAATTGTATTGAACTTGTAGATTATCTTTGGTAGAATTATCATTTGCACAATATTGAGTCTTCATATCCGTGATCATGAAATGTTCTTCCATTTTTCCAGGTCTGTATTTATTTCTTATAGAAATGTTTTGTAATTTTTTTAATAGATCTTTTGTGTTTCTAGTTAGATTTTACTTTCAAGTATTTAATTTTGTGGTTTGCTATTGTAATGGGGTTTTTTTTTTAGCTCTGTTTCTGTGTTTTGGTGGTGTTTTTTTCTTGTCACTGTACAGAGAAATTAAATTGATTTTTGTATGTTGATCTTGTATCCTGCCACTTTGTTAAATTGGTTGACTATGTCCAGTAGTTTTCTTGCTGACTCTAGGGTTTTCTAAGTATACTATCATATGATCTGCATATACAGATAATTTTATCTCCTTTTTGCCAATTTGTATACCTCTTATTTTCTTTTGTCTTACTGCTATTGCTAAGACTTGCAATACAATATTGAATAGGAGAGGTGATAGTGAGCATCCTTACCTAGTTTCTGTTCTCAAAGGGAATGCCTTTAATTTTTCTCCATTGAGAATAATATTGGCTCTTGATTTTGCCTATATACTTTTTACTATGTTGAGAAAATTCCTCTCTATTCCTATTTTGCTGAGTGTTTTAATCAGGAAAGGGTATTGGATTTTGTCAAAGGCCTTTTCTGCATCAATTGATAGGATCGTGTGGTTCATATTCTTTGATTTGTTAATGTTATGAGTTAAACTGATTGTTTTTCTTCTGTCGAACCATCTTTGCATACTTGTTATGAATACCACTTGGTCATGGAGAATTATTTTTTTCATGTGCCGTTAGATTTGGTCAGCTAGGATTTTATTCAGAATTTTTGCATTTATGGTCATGAGGGATATTGACTTATAATTTTCTGTTTTGATGGTATCTTTATCTGATTTTAGTATCAAGGATATATTTGCTTCATAGAATGAGTTTGGAGGAATTCCATCTTTTTCCATTTTCTAAAATACTTTATGTAGAATTGGTGACAGATCTTTTTTGAATGTTTGATAAAATTAACTTGTAAAACCATCTGGTCTAGGAATTTTTTTTTTGTTGGAAGTTTTTTTATGACCTGTTCTATTTCTTTTTTTTGTAAGAGTCTGTTTAGGTGTTCTATTTCAGTCTGTGTCAGTTTAGGTAGGCAGTGGGTTTCTAAGTATTTGTCCATTTCCTCCAGGTTTTCATATTTGTTTGAGTCTAGTTTTTCCATAATATTCCATTGTTAACTTTTTTATTTTAGTTGATTCTGTGTGACATTTCCCCTTTCATCTCTTATTCAGATTATTTGCATCTTTTCTCTTTGTCAGTTTTGCTAGTGGTTTGTTGATTTTATAGACTTTTTTTAAGAACCAACTCCTAGTTTTGTTTGATGGTTTCAATTGTTTTTCTCTTTCTTTTTCATTTCTTTCTGCCCTAATTTCAAGTTTTTTAGAGGGTGTCACGTTTTCTTGCTGTTCTTTTTCAATTTACTAAAAATTTTAGGTTAGAGATTCAATTATCACTTTTTTCTTGCTTTTTTCTGTGTATGCTTTTTGCTATAAATTGACCTCTGCTTACTGCTTTGGCTGTTTCCCAGGGGTCTTGGTAAGTTGTGTTTTTATTGTCATTTGTTTCAAGAAAGTTTTTAATTTTTTATTTCTTCTACTACCCATTCTTGTTCAAGCAAGGTATTGTTCAGCTTCCAAAGGTATGGTTTTTTCCTCCTTTATCCTCTTGTTATTAATTTCTAATTTTGTAGCATTGTGATCTGCAAAGATGCTTTGTATTATTTCTGTTATTTAAAATTTATTGGTGCTTGCCTTGTGACCTAAAATGTGCTCTATTCTGGAGAATATTCCATGTACATTGGAGAAGTATACTGTGCTTTCTTAGGATGCATTAGCCTGTATATATCTATGAGATCAAGTTGATTTATTGTGTGGTTTAATTCTTCAGCATTTTTGTTGAGTTTCTTCCTGGTAGGTCTATCTTTTCTTGAGGATGGTGTATGGAAGTCTCCTACTACTGTAGTGGGTCTCCAATTATGCACATGTTATTCCTCTTGATAGTGTCCCACATTATTCTTAGGCTTTATTCTTTTCGATTCTGCTTTTTGTTCTAGCAGATCAGTGGTGACAATTCTTTTATTTCACTAGTTCTGTGTTCCATCCCTTCAACTCTGTTCATATGTTCCTCCAACATGTTGACAGTATCTGAAACATTGGTCCTCAATTCTGGATTATGGTTTCTTGATTTTCCCAGAGCCTCTAATGCCTCGTTTGTTTTATCTACATCATCTTATTTTTTCAAGTTCCTCCTGGTGTTTGCTTGCAGAGTCCTGTAATTCTTTGAGATTGTTTTTCACCCATTGAAAATATTCAATCGTTGTTCTTTTGAATTCTGTGTCAGAAAGTTCCATCAACTTTCCGGCTTCAGGAAATCCATTGATATTGTGTCACTTTTGGGGAATGACATATTGTTTTGAGTTTGGGTAGAGTGTGAGGTAGTCTACTCTTTCCATATATTTGCTGTGAAAGAATCTTTCATGCTTGAGGTCTTAGCAGGCTCTTGGTCAGATAACCTTGGCTCAGGAATTAACTGCTCCATAGGAGAACAGGGCACCTATCCTGCCTGAATTTCTCTATGATCTTTTGACTCATGGGAAGACTTGCTTCAGTTGGGGAGAGATATGGCCTGTGAATTAACAGCCTTCTCTGTCAGGTAACTGCTGCAGCTAGGCGGGTCCAAAGTTCTTGAGGCTAAAGGCAGCTCCAGCTCTGGGTAGGGGAAGGAAATGGCTTCACCTATGATATTTGTATCTTTGGCACAGTTCAAAGGCACTGGAACGGGTCATCTTCCAGGCAGCAGGACTGGGGCATCCATCTCATCATGAGTCTTCCTCTCTTGCATTGTCCCTCCACCCTCCCAAGCATAATGTCCCTCTCCAAGGGCTGGTCCCACCATGAAACATGTCCAAAGTATGTCAGATGAAGCTTCAGAATCCTTGCCTGGTCTCATACTCTCTAGGATGGACTTGTTTGTTCTCCCAGCAGTTCATGATGTATTCAATACTCTTCTCCAGCACCACAGCTCAAAGGCATCAATTCTCTCATTATTCCTATTCTATCACGTTACAGGGCCAGGTCTTTCAGGAAACTGGGCCAGGGTGTCTGGTCAATGGACAGGGGTGTCCAGGCAGCAAAGCTGGTCCTCCAGGTGACAGGTTTAGTGGTCCAGGTGGCAGGGGG